GAATAAGGGTGAAAGAGAAAGAGAGGGGGGATAGTAGGCCTATGCAGCCGCAAGGTCGGGGCAACGGTGTCTCTCTATCGTTTATTCCACGGATGACATATCGCGCCATCTCTCGGTGACGAACGCTGATCTCAGATAATCCCTGCCGTACGACATTCTTTCACACAGTCAGGTAGACTTAGTCTTAGAATGTCAAGTAATATCTGTAAGATTATATAAGGACCAGCGTCGATAGGATCCTCCCAGAGATTCGCCTGCGAAGATTCGACGGAGGGTCGATGACCTCTGTTTGACCCGCGGCTAGCAGACGCAGAGAGACGCTCGCATGCCGATAATAACGCAGTTATTCTCTCACATCTCCCGCAGAGCGGATGGCCCCGAGCCAGCAGGCGGAAGTAACTACGCGCGCTCCATCTTCCGGCGGTTGCCATTGACGTTATACAATGACGCGCGCGGTTGGACAGACAGACAGACAGACGGGAAATGTTTTGCGCGCGAAAACAATCGCGTTCATAGAGCGAAAAAAACTGAGCGCGCAAACGGAAGCGAGCGAGCGGTGGGGTGGCGGGATGGAGTGGGGGTGGGTGGTGGGGTGTGGGTAAGGGAGGGGGCGGCGGTGCTGCTTCACATTCCGGTGCGGATATAGGCTGCTGCTAGCGGCTGCCTGCCGTGTGGTGTACAATGCAGGCGCCAAAACTTTCACAGCTTTAGAATGCGGCGATGCGAGAAGAACCCACAGAGCTAGTGGCAGCAGCAACATCACCACCACCACCAGCAGCAGCATCACTACCAGCAGCAGCGGCAGCATCACCACCACCACCAGCAGCAGCAGTAGCAGCAGCAGCAGCAGCAGCAGCATCACCACCATCTGCAGCATCATCATTACCAGCAGCAGCATCAACAGCAGTAGCAGCACCACCAGCAGCAGCAACAGCAGCAGTAGCAGCAGCAACAGCAGTAGCATTACCAGCAGCAGCAGCAACAGCAGCAGTAGCAGCAGCAGCAGCAACAACAACAGCAGCAGCAGCATCACCACCAGCAGCAGCAGCATCATTACCAGCAACAACAGCAGCAGCAGCAGCAACAACAACAACAACAGCAGCAGCATCACCATCAGCAACAGTAGCAGCAGCAGCATGAACAGCAGCAGCAGCAACATCACCACCAGCAGCAGTAGCGTGTTTACAAGCAGGTCAGCAGCGAGTGCATACTTACTCACCCACGCACGCACGCACGGATGCGTGGATGCACGCTCGCACACACGCAGGAACGCACCTAGGTACGCACTTATACATGCACGCATGCGCCCGCCTTGTAAATAGGTGAAAGTAGACAGATACACAGATAGATAGATAAAGAGAGAGAGAAAGAGAGAGAGCGCGGGAGAGAGAGAGAAGGCGAGAGAGAGAGAGCGAGAGCGAGAGAGAGAGAGAGAGAGAGAGAGAGAGAGAAGGAGAGCGGTGGCATCCCGGAAGTTGATGGGATCTCACGCTTGCACGCCGACAGACAACGTGTGCGTGTGTGTCTGGGGGATGGGGGGTCTATTCTATTCTATCTTCTCTATTGACACAAGACGAACAGCAGTAGCTGCATGCTGCGGTGTTTTACCGGGCCAGGCCGTGAACCCGTGCTTTATACAACAGTAACCTTCCGCAAATTGTTCACCGAATTGCACTGTTTGTTCTCTATAAAAGGAATTTTTTTGCCTTTTTCCAGTGAAATTCGCCACTAGAGTGCAAGAATTTGTATTATGCACACAGGTTAGATAGCTCGTGTCGATAAGATGTGTAGATAAGACGTCTAGAAAGCATTAAAGGCCCGTCTCCACACACGCGGCGCGGCGCGGAACGCCACGGAAACGGCGTCGTTGACCCCTACCGGCAAAGTTCAAATCTATTATATCTTATGGCGCAGTCTCCACTGACACGTCACGGCGCCAGCCCGGTTAGGTAGCGAAAATTTTAGTGTCCAGTACGGTATATAACATAAAGCGAAGAATATTAGACGCCTTCTGAATTGGCATGCTTCCATTTGCTTGGCCTAGAACAGAGAACAAACGCAGTGGAAAGTGTAGTTGTGTTAGGACCGCTTAAGAGAAGTAACGTGGTCTGATGCTATGGTCCTAGGAAAAACGTAGTCTGTTCCTCATTAATATAACACATCAATATCACTAAATTGCAATTCTTTCTGCAAAGGCAGGGGCTTTCATTTCAATCTCAAGTATGAGAGGTCTGGGCCTCTCGTAATATTTACATTACGTACGTTATGTACACGCACTGCCGTAGTGCTTCGGTCGCAGCGGACGGAAGGCGAAGGGGCCGACGACAGTACTACTAGTGACTAGAAGCTACGACGGTACCTTATAAGTACGTAGGGGCTACGACAGTACGAGCTATTACCTGATACTCGTACTCGTTGATGACCGCTAGAGTAGGTAGTAAGTCGAGAAGTAGTAACTAGTGTGTTAACCCTGGAGCGGCAGCCCCTGGGAAAACGTAACACTAATCGGACCACGCACGGAACATAAACGTGACAG